TGTACTTTCCAACATAAGAATAAGGTATTGCTTTACACACATACAGTAGTTAGTATTAATCATTCATTTTTTGCTTTTTTGTTTGGTTCATTATACTGTGTCTGTTTTTTTTTTAATTTTCAAGAGTTTACATATAATTAGTTGCAATAGTACTTGATGAATGGTCCACCACTATAGAAATAATTATTACATGACTTAATTAAATGAAGTTACTGCTGCAGATAATCCTCTCTATGACTTGGCAAAGGTTGTTACCACCATATGCCCTCTCCTAATGCGACCCTCAGCATTTATCCCCAGTTGGGTGAGGCCTAGTAGGACACACACACACACACACACACACACAGTGACTATGAAAATGGCCAGCAGACTATAGTAAAAAAATGGTGAAAATAAAATAAAAACTAGTGTGAATAAATACATCACATATAATGAGATACAACTGACTATGAACGATTCTGCTGCTGGGATTAGGACAGATTACATTTTTTTAATTTGACAGTCTTTCCACCAGACAGATACTGTGGTGATCAATATAACTAAGTACTTTGACATCATAAATATAACAGAGTGTCAGACAGGCCCCTAAACGTGCCGTAAAACACATGTTCTGTGCTGTTAAGATCGATGTCTCTCTCCCCCTCCTCCGCCTCCCTCTCCTCCTTCCAACAGTAAATCTTTGCTGATAGAATGTCTCCTCCTGACAGTGATGATGTGCTGTGAGCACAGACTTTAAGAATAATCGTTCAAACATGGAGTCGACTCTAATCCATCTCCGGAGGACAAATGTGTCCACGTTCGCCTGTGATTTCCTCAGTCTCCTCGCGTCCCAGCGTGACATCATCCTCGTGCCCCCTCCCTACACCACATATGGGATTGGGATTGGAATAGCACGTAATCCCAGTGCTGTTAAAGGGAATTAGTAGCCTGGAGCTCAGTCACTGCACTAACTCAGCTGTGTAAAAGAAAGGCAGGCTCCATGGATACCATTTATTCAAATGTAAAACACACACAGAGTATTTCTATTTCTGTGCTTGTGAGTCACACACACACACAAGCACACACACACACACACTACAGAGTCAGGGAGGTTGTACAGTAACTGACTTGGCTTTTAAACATCTTCGCAAAATGAAACTCCATTACAGCAAAACTCCAGCAGAATGTTTTAATCTCCACTCACAGATGGTGTTTGTTGAATGAAGACAGCATCTGTCCGCTCATATCGGCGGCCTGCGTGCTGTCACACACAAGACACACGTGCACCGAGCACTAGGCACTTATTAAAACGTTCACAGAATGTCCACAAACGGTCCAGAGGGGACAAGCCATTTCTCTAGATCTGCTCAGCGCAGACACATTCCACGACTCCCACTGTTTGACTGTTTGGCACGTGAGACCCTGGACGGACACGAGAGACTGGTGTTTAATTTAACTCCTCTGAACAGCTTCAGGCAACGGCAGAACCAACAATTTAGAGGGAAAAACAGAGTTGTTGTTTTTTTTTTTTTAGTGGAGTCATGTTTTAAGTTTAATCAAGTATTGTGTTAGAATGATGCAACACTGTTTTGCTGAACATGAACTGAAAGTGCAACTAGAGGAAAGTGGAAGATTTACCTTTGGCTCTGATGTAATTTAACATTTAATGTTGTTTTTCTGAAGGTTAGTAACTGCTGGCATTTGGGGAGAGGTGGTTTTGGCTGCATTTAAGACTCAAAATCTTCAGTAATCTTTGGATCTCCATGTTATTTTTCATTTGTCAGTCAGACACAGGGATGTTTTTTTAAAAACTTTTTCCCACTTTTAAAAACATTATCATTTGCTGTTTTCCTATTTTGTTTCAGTCTGGCAGCTCAATTATTTACAGTATTGAATTTGTATTATTCAATATAGTTTTTTTACAGTACTACTGCACTGTAGTATTTGAAATCTTTACTCTTAGTTTTTCCCATCAGGGAAGCAGCTTTCAACATGTTTGAACACTTTGACAGCGTCAGCAGGGCAGAACAGTGACAAATGACAGAACAATAGACAGAAATCTACAGTATATGAAACAATATATCTTTGTTTCAGTCATAAATATTCCTACCTGTCATGAAGTCACTGTCCTGTGCCAGCAGTGAGTCGCTGTGGAAACTCTCCTTCAGCGAAGGCCTCCTCAGCAGGTCCTCCATGCCAACACTGTTGTCCACTAGTTCGTCCATGCTCGTGTCCTCCGCCGCTGTTGACAGTCAGTGTGAGGGACGTCTGAGCTCCAGCTAAGTCCTGTCCACTTTACCACGGAGATACTTCACCTCCTGTAAACCTCCCTACTGTTCTGGTGTGTAGGGTGATGTCACTCAACAGGAGGATTAAGGTAAGCCTTCTGAAGCTCAAAGAAGGACAAGACTGCATGACAGGAGGAATCTGTGGTGTGTGTGTGTCTGTGTGAGTGAGTCTCTCTCACACACACACGACAGATTTTAAGGAAATAAGCCGCCAAAAGCCCCGCCAGACGGACAGACCTAAAATTATTGGCGACAATTTCTGCGACATTCATGTTATGGACTTTATAGATTGGTTTCCTTGTTTGTCATTTTTTTTCATAAATTCTGAGATGTCATCTTTGATCTGTCACTGTCTCTGTCAGCAGCATCTCTCTGAAACTACTGAACTCATTTTTTGTTAAAGATAAAATGACTAAATAATGGTTACGTAAAGCTTCTACATTGGCATAAGGAGGAGTAAAAAGCAGTTGTCATTTTTTCATTACAAACTGGTTAGTGGTGCGCTCAAAAATAAAAACCCAACATTATTGTTGTTGTTATTGTACATATATGTTTTTGCTCCTCTTTGATCGAAGAACTTTGGTATTCAAATGAGAAATACTCACTTCATTCATTTGAACCTGGGGTGAGGAGGTCGGAGCATCTCAAACAACAGGGCAGTGGGATAATCCGTCCAGGCTGGTTTCTTCTTTCAAACAGAGGTCAGGGCAGCCTCTGATGGGGAAAACACTTTCACATTAAAGACCTCAGAATAACTTCCTGAAAGATAAGTTACATAAGCACTGTCAGCAAACGAACAGCCACTGTGGAGGAAAGCAATGAGTAACAATTACTGACCTGTGTGCAATGAAAACACACACTCCACAGGGTAAATAAACACACGTACACACACGCACAATGCCCACACACACACACACACACACACACACACACAGCAGGGTGGTACTGTGCAATTTGCTGTTGGAAACAAAGTTGCAGCCAAGCACACAATTACACTCCCCCAAAGAGCTTACATCAGGCTACCATCCGGTGTGTCCAGGCCTGGCGTACTGTAAGGATGATGGGATTCAGAGATTAGATAGAAGAACTTGATTAATTACAGTCATCAGGTGGACAATAAGCCGGACGTGGTAATTAGACCTACAGAGAAAGACAGCAGCAGCAGCAGCAGATGAAAAGCCAGTGAGATGGTTGTGTCTGTGTGTAAGCTGGATTCCTGTCCATAGCAAGGGTCTCCAGCGCGTCACATACCATTAGCTGGTCGCTTGCAATAAACCAAACAAACATTTGAAAACTTCATTGGTCCTCTCGACAGGACAACCAGAACATAAAGCACAGAAGAACAGGGAACAGTCATTTCAGGATTTACATTTATATCTGTCATGTGCTCTTTTCTGCATAATGTCGCCCGTAAATAAAATGAAAAAATTGTGAGTTGTCTCTCAATTCTAACAATAATGCAGAATATCTTTTCAACCATGTGTGTGTGTGTGTGTGTGTGTGTGTTTGTGTGCATGTATTCCTGGTCCTAGTCCGGGGCTTGAAAATGGGATGAAGTCTGTGTTAACAGGAGACATCACCGGAGGGAAATAAATTGCTCTAAAACACAACTGGGTTAAATTTATGTCCAACTAAAATGTTATGTGGGTCAAAGAGTGACTCACCCTGACCTCTGCCTACTCTCACTACTGACCTCCTGTGGACATTGTACAGCATGACTGAGCTCCATGCACGACTGCACCTGGGTCGTTCCTGTTCATACATTGTTACAGTACTGTACAATAGCTTTCTCAGAAAATATTTAAATATAAAATAAAGTCCACATCACAGCATTTAGTATATTGGATGGTCAATATAGTTTCATATAAATACATGGTCATATGTACAGTTCAGTTAAATGTTCAATGTATTTACTTAGTAAACCTTAGTAAACCTTCCTCTAATGTACTTGGTAACCGGCTAACTTAACAATATATAAAGAAAAAAGCAGACACAGTTTTCACAAAGGACTTCAAATTTATAAATAGTTTTTTTTTTCAATGGAACATTAAATCAGTAGGGATGTTATTGTAACTCTTAAAAAATCCAAGCAATTTTCAGGGCATAACAAAGTGACGATAATCTGATACACATTGCTTCTCTACTCCAAAAATATCTTTTTTTAATTTTTTTTTTTTTAGCATATATCCTCTCATTTTTCCAAATATATCAAAATATCTTAATCAGGTGCTTTTAATTTGATGTGACTCAAAAGGTGAACTCACTTCACTTCCTGCCACTGAATATTAACACAGAGAGGTTACTGTCTCTGAAGTGATGACCAGGCCCAGTTCTCATGGTAACCAAAGATGCCACTGTTACTGAAATAGGAGTGAGATAAATGACAGCATTCAGTGTAGTCTACACTTTAACCAGGGCTGGTCTGCACTGGGGACGGTGACTCATGTTGAGCTCCTCCCTCAGCTCTCACGACCTCCTCGTACAGGAAGTTCTCACTCAGTGGCCAAAAGACAATGAAGCAAGGCCATGGAATGAGTAAAGCAAAGTGTTGATCAGCAGTGGAATGTGGATGTGACACACACACAGGGTTCTTGCCCTCTGGGTGACAAACTTTAAAAATTACATACTGTATGTTGAGAGAAAGGCAGGGGTTCAGCTGGAGAGGGGGAAAAAACTGAGATGTTGAAATGGCTGGATAAACACTGCTATATTAATAACTTCAGCTCAGCTGCTGGACTATTCTTTGATAAAACATGATGTCAGTTTGGTGAAATCTGATCCTAATGGTAGGTGATGTGTGGAAACATTACAGATACATACTGTATAAGATAAGTGTTGAAACTGTTGAAAGAAAAATGGAAGTTGACCACATTACCATTCTCCGTCAGGTTGACCCAGAGAGCAAACAAAATCCCATGTGTCTCAATTTCAGTCCTAATGTTCCAGTGATCTGTCTGTGACCTTTGACCCTAACAGAGCATGGTAGTTGGGCTCCACGCGACGCTCGACACATTAACAACATAAAGTAAACAACATTTACATCTTTGTCGTCGACCACCACTCAATCATTTATTCTCTAAACTCATAAGTTACAAACAGAGAGGAAAATAAAAACAAAACAAAAAAAAAACAATATAATTCATCACATCATTTCCAAATAAGTTAAAATGAAATCTTAATATATTTGTACTGTTTACTCCATTTAAATATTCTTTCTTACTTTAAATATAATTCTTACAGCTCTTGCAAAAATACTACACTGTGCATTGGCGGTCGGCTTGTGTAAAGAGTGCCCGGTGCTTCCTGAAAGATCAGATATGTACACGTCACGTGGAAGAGAGCTTCCCACTGATCACTCTCTACGACTGTTTGTTTACGCTGCGACAACAGCTCAACTCTCCTCCGTCTGTCTTTTGGTCAAATCTCAATTACCGCTGTGATGTTTATAAGTTAACATTAAAAATAAAAATGATGCATATTCTTTCCTTAAATTTGCTAAGCTCTTTTTGTTTTTTTTTTCAAAAATAGTCTAAAAATATATTGCATATGCCATCTTAGGAAATCCACATAGTAAAATATTCTTAATAAGGAGAAATCGCTAGGTAGGAGAAATATATGGTTATATAGATATACATTTGAAGAACTTGGAAATGGCTTTAAATCAACCCTAATGAGCAATATTTGATTTTGTGTTCTGGATTTGGAGCCATAGTTCTTGAAAAAGATCAGAGCTTCGGCTGTGAAGGAAAGCAGTCGGGTACTCTTTCTAAAGGAGACATCAGGTAGTTTTTGACACAAGTGCAGTTGTTAGAAGTGATCAATCAATGTCCAGTCAGGAAGGATGTTTAAAAGGATATATTTTAGGAGCAGACTGTGCTATTTACTTCCTCATATGCTCAAAATATCACTACATATACTGTGCAACATGAAGCAGTTCCTTCATCACTGTGGATGTTTAACCATGACTTGCATGTCCATACCGTTCCAGACTGTGGTTCCGACCTCAGGTATGGGAGGCTAGAGGAAGACTTCAACATGAAGCTGGACCTTTATAATAAAAGTGGATTTGGACAAAGCTGACCAATGGGACAGGATTAAGAGCAGGCAGTAAAGAGCATCAGAGCAAAAAGCTCTAGGAGCAAAAAGTTGCCCCAGGTGAATAACATTTAACCCAAGAAGAGTTTCATATGGGCTGGCCAAAATACAGTATATATATATATAAGACTTAAAAAAAAACACATTTAGAACCAATTGCTGTACTTGGAATTCTAACACTGCCCACTTTAGGAGTGTCCTTTCATCAAAACTGAGATGACCACTCACAGTGGTGTCTCAAAATAATTGGTTCATGTTGCACAGTAGCTGTATTTTTGTGCAAAAGTGCTTTTTTTTACTTCTAAAGATGTGCTTATAAAAAGTCTGGCTGGACTTCAATCTATATTCCATCAAATGACTGACAGCTGAGGCGTACCCAGAACTAGAGCAGCATGTCTTTAAAAAAACCACCTGATTCCTCTTTTAGGATTTCTTTTAAGCTACACACACTCTAATACTACTTGTTTTCTGACAGAAAAAAACACTTGCAGGTTAGAAGGCAATAAGAGATTAGGGTTAAATACCCCCCCCCCCCCCCCGACCCCCACTACAAAACCATCTAGTATCAACCCTCCCCGAACCTACAGCCCACCCATCAACTGAAACACACCTCTGATCAGAAACCAGTATCGGCTGCATTTGTTGCCAAGAGTTGTTGCGATGTTTCACAATCTCTGAGCAACGCCTGATGACCACGTGGGCTGCAGATATAAGTTGACTGTGGGCCACGATTTAGTACACAGGGTTGACACTCAAGTCTCTGTTGAACCTGATCACAGTCACTGTGTGTGAGTATAGGTCTGGCAGAGCTGCTTGACAATTCAGACGAAGTAAATCTAATAGCATACATACTGTATATGTGTACCATATATATGGGATTCAACAGGCTCTACAATAACACACTGGCCAACTCCTCTACACGAATACACTGTTTGCACTGACGAAGCAGCCACGACATTTTCACTGTTTCCTTCTCTCTACACAAACACCCTCAGTTTCTCTCTCTCTCTCTCTCTCTCTGTCTAACGCACACACACACACACAAAACTATAAACACTATGTTCCCCAGGACAATATTAGTAGCCATAACAAAACAAACATGTTTGTTGTTATTAAGGAATGAATTAGTGCAATATAACAAGGGAACGAGGGCAGAAGTGCTAACTACGAGTACGAGGGAGGGGACGGGGGCTGTGGCTTGTGTGACATCCTTTGGTTTGTCTACAGGGGAGAGAAACAGAAACGGGACAGTCCATAAATGTGTGGGTGTAAAAGGAAGTACGAGAGGCATTTCCCACGTGAAGTGGCACTTCAGGACGCAATGTCATGTTCTAGAGAGAAAAAAACAAAAAAAAAAACAACAAACAAACAAAAAACAAACCCTGACTTTGACCAGTGCAGAGCTGCAACTATTCTGAACTACAACAAATCATTGTTTGTCTGTCTCAAATGTTAATGTGGCATTTTTTTCTGTCCGTTTTCAGATTCTACAAACTGATCTTTGGGTTTGGAATAAAACATTTTTTCAAGTTCTCAAGTTTATAACAACAATCATTTTTCATCGCACTGTGGCGTTCCATCAACAAAATGACGGCAAGGCGATAAAAATGTATGAGTTGCAGCCCTAAACTAGTGCATTTTTAATGTGCCTCTCTATTGACCACACGGCAGCAGCCTGTTGATTGAAAACAGGAATGAAAGAGTGAATCCATTTTGCCTCCAACCACTAGTCAAATACAGAGCTGCCCATAGTTCTAGCTGCAAGTCAATCACAGGAATAAGTAATGTTAAAAATATATATATTAATAAAAATGTCATTTAAATAATAATTAAAATAATTTTATTTAAAGATTGACAGTTATTGAAGGGCCACTTTAAATAATCTTGATTATTTTATTATGATATTTTGCGATTTTTGGGAGGAAGGCCGGGAGACACTTTGTGCGAGACATTTTTGACCCCTTAGCTGAAAAGGTTCTGCTGTGGAGCAGAGTTTGGTGAGAAAAGATGTGAGTCACCTTCTGCCCTTTACGTACAGTAATTTTAGGTAGCACAGACGGTCTCTGGCGACACCAGTGTGATTGCGCTCTGGCACACAGCAGAGATGACGGGGTGAGGAAACCTCGCTTCCTCCAAAGCTGCTTGTTTGGTTTGATTGCCTGAAAGCCTCCTAAAAAATGTATCATTCATCCCCACGTTTGTCCATGTATCCACTAACTCACACACTCTCCTTCACAAACAGAAACAAACTCAGGTCAGGTAAAAAAATAAGACGCCACCCTGCATCAGCTGCGGCCACACCATGGCTGATCCAACATTTTGCAACATGGTGCAGCCTCAACTTCCACCGGTCCATGAACAGAACCACCATGACTGTTGTGCTAAGATGCTTATGGGAAGGCATAGTGACGCAAGCAGCAAAATCCAGCCTTGTGTTTACCTTTGCTGGAAAGCATAAAGGAAGGAAGGATGCAACGTACTATGTCACCATGGAGTGTCTTGGAGGCCAAGAAAACAAATGTTCGTTCCTCGTTTCATTACACGAGGACGTAGTGGTGCCCAGACTGAAATGGTTAAATCTAACTCACTGTTACTTCTGCAGTTGACTAAAGGGATCTGTGCTTCATGATGTGTCAAAAACTTTTTTGCGTCACCGTTTCTTCACCAAAACAAGCCCCCCTTCTCTGGAGTTTCTCCTTTTCCCTCCTATGACCGCTGGACTATGGTCCAGGGCAGAAAAGCTGCGTTCAGTCATGCCTCCCCCTCCCGTGCAGGGGGGAGAGTTTTGTGATGAGACGCTCCACATGCTCTACAGTCTACTGCAGGTTCTTTAGGATGCGTCCGTAGCGGAAGTCATAGACGTGTCGGCAAAGATAAACCAGTTCAGGGTCGACATCCGTGGGCACGCATCGGTGGGAGGGGGGGGCGAATTCGGGGCGGCAGGGCACCATGCTGGCGCTGCCAGGCTGGGCTCCTTCAGCACGCCGCTTCACCAAGGCACAAAATCTGGAGAAGAGCAAATCTACTGGTGAGTTTGAGAGCAAAGACAAGCTGGTTAGGGCTGCGACTACAATCATACTGTGTTTATAGCGCCACCTGCTGAGGAGAAATAGGGAAGTAAGTGCTCTACAGTATGTTCACCTTCTGTATATTCTACTCAATACAGAAAAGAAAATATTAATTATTAGTTTGTTTGTTACATAGAAAAATCATGACTAATTATTTGTCAGCAGTCTGTTGGTGGCCCTGTGTTTACTTTAATTCATTATCAGTTACTGTGTCACCTCTGTATGACAGGAAAGTCATGAAAACATATGTCTGCACATCGCATGAGCTGAGGTGTTAATTAAAAGGAAAGACTTCTGACAACTGTTCGTGCCTGTGTGTGTGTGTGTGTGTGTGTTTACCTACCTACAGTACTGCGCTAGTGGGAGAACATAACATCTGTCTTCTATGCAGGCCACACTATTTTCATCCTGATGGCGAGAGGCGAAAATCTCATTCTGAAAAAAGAGTGGCCAGACGACAGTCAGTACTGGGGAAAACCCTCCGTCTTGAAGCTAAACGTTGACAGTAGTCTGTTTTATATAAATATGGGTTACACACAATAATTGACATTAACTGTGTTTTTGTCACCCCCTACAGGAGGAGTAGAATTTCCAGTAATTACACAAATAGTCATTCCAGATCACAATGAACAATTTGTAAAAACTCTGTGCTCGCTCAAAAGGAAGCAAGTCTTTAGATGCACAATTGACTGTAATTGTATGCTGTAGTCCTTGGTGCTCCGACACAACAAACCATCCAGTATATCTGTAAACATTCAGAGCAAAGATGAAAAAAAAAAACCGAGTCAAGGGTATGTTCTCTGTGTACTTAGAAATACTGCTCTTCTCTAACCCTGTGTTTGACTGAGGTAGCAGACCTATCATCATCTGGTATCATCAGCTATTGTGGTTTTAACTGAGGAGCTAACCAACTATTGAGAGTCACAGGTCTGCTGAGGAGATAATGATGTCTCAGGCAGCAGCCGGGGTCTAAATATTTATGCTTAGACAAGCATTTCTGTTCAGCACTTCTAAAATCATCCTCTTACTCACATAAATACACGGGGTTACCTCCAGTGTGATGAACAAATTATAGATCAGGTCTGGGTTTCTCACAAAGTACACCAATGAGAATGCAGAGTAAAAAATGAACTTTATCTCATTGATTGAAAAGCTCGAGCTGCTTCATGAAAACAAAAAGTCATTCTCACAATGGCTGGAAATAACAATGTGTGAATCAAATCTGCATTAGAGCAGTGATTAGTGCATGGAAGGTAGAATTATTGTAAAGATATATGAGGTGTCTACCAAAGTTTTACTCTGAATAATCACAGGGTAGTTGTTGATTTATGACAATTAATCGTGTTCATAATTTGTCATCAAATTCAATCTTAGCCACATATTACTATATTTATATACACCACAGCCCTGCTGAATCTGCGATTCACAATTTTACAAGCAACAGTAACTGATGCATATTTGGCAGTACATTAACCGGCACTTTTGTGATGATATATTAGTGGTTGTTATATTGGCTATTTATTAGTCGTAAAAATAAAATGACCATGATCCTCACCGCTATAGCGTTAGGAGAAGATAATGCTGATGTGGAAATAGATGCTTTATAATAACTGAAGAAAATGCCTGCATCTCTGCATCTTTCTCCTTTTCCGACCTCTAGTGTCTTACAGCTGTGGTAGATTACATTTTTTTTTGGCGTCAGATCACAGTCTCACATGGACACACAGATGTGCAGGCAGAGCCCCAGTGGAACAGCTTTTATTTTGTTTCCACATCTAATAAGCAAACCAATCAGTCAGACAGCTGTTTGTTGTGACTGGAAATTCGAGACAGTTTCCAAACGTTTAAAAAGCAACATTTTTCAGCCTAGAAACAAAATCCATCAGCATCACTCAATGGAACAATGGAGCTGTTTATAATCCAGTGTGAAATCTAAATTGTAATTGCTACGATGAAAAGTTGTTTTTAATTTTACACGTTTATTAATAAAAGACTCACACTGTAATGTCACCTCACGTGGTTCAGTAGTAAGGACACACAGGTGTCTCTGCTCTGTGTCTTGACTGGCTGACACAGACGTTACTCAGTGGAATGGCATTATGAAATGTGTACGTAAAGCAATGAAATTTTCTTTTCCAACATCTAATCAGAAACAGAAAATCAAAACAGAATCAAAAATACTAAAAAGAAATAGGTTTGATACGTGTGGTGATTCTAGAGTAAGGAAGAGGAAGTAAGCATGTGGAATACTGCCATAAAAGCTAATAAAATGTTGATGTATAATTGAACGTAATAGAAAATGAATTAAATCCTTTGGATTAACTTAATGCTTCTTACTAGAAAAAATGTTTTCGTTAACTTATTCAACATTTTGCAATTATGCTTTACTTTTGAAATATAATTCAAAAAGACGTTTTTGCAAAAGGACGTCAAGGATAAGAGATGGTTATTATTCACATGCCTAATACACATCAGTTGACATTTTAAATACAGGATTATTTAATTGTAAGAAGGGAAACACAGCTTTTCCAGGGAAATGTCAACAGTGTCATTACAGCAGTGGGAAAACAGGTCGTTGCTCTGAACCACTGAAGCCTCACCTCACAGTGTGCGCTGGGATCTCTGCCCCCCTGGGTGTGCTCAGGTCGGTAGTACCAGAAAAGACTCATCATCAGCTCTCCTGAGGCGACAAATGGAGACACACAAAGGTAAGTGGGTAAAAACCTTGGCCTTTAGCTCCTTTAGTATCCATCCAACCATGCACACAGTTCATTGTGTTTTATGTGACCTCTCCGCTCTTATCTCCCTCACCTGTTTTGGGGTCTTCCCACAGCGCTGATATTTTGGCAACGTACGGGAGGGATTTCTTCCTGGGGCCCGATCGAAGCAGCACAGTGTCTCTGACACGAATCACTTCACCATCCCGCTCCACTCCTTCATAACACTGACGCACCGCAGTCTCATCCTCCCCCTGAGACACCAAGCAGGTCAGATATATAGTGTAGTGATTCTCCTTATAGTTTCACCCAGAATGACTCTGTTGAATCATGGCCAGATGAGCAGCTCAAAAACACTGCTGTTCATTAACTTTCATTTCTTCCCTCACGGAGTTATTACTGACATGTTCGTTACATCAGTGAAAACAAGCCTATTTTTGTCTCTAACTTGTTTTATATTACAGTACACCATTTGGCATTGACTGTAATTGTGTCAGATAAAAATAGATTATATTTTAAATTGGATTTTTAAAAAAGAGACTCTTTTGTCTATATCTTTCTTATATGGAATTGTCACAAAGAAAAAAAGGAAAAAGCAGAAAACAAAACCAGAGATAGTGGTCTCCAGTCTGTAAGCAATTATCTTGTACACACACAAATAACCTACCGCGATGAAGACCTCCTTCTCAGTTGGCAATCCGACCGGCCGCCAACCATTAGTGGCACGTCTACGGCTCACTTTCTTTTGTTTGGTGCTGATCAGGCTTGGCACCGGGGACGGTTGTTTATGAGGCAGCCTCGTACGGCCTGTGGACAGGGAGCCACTGGAAGTCTTGATGCTTTGAGGACTTTCCCTGTTCATTTTTAACCTGGCCTTGGGCTGAGGGACTTGACTTGTCAGTTCTCGCCCTGACAGAGGGTTTAGAAGGTGGGGTTTAGTTTGGGTGGAAGTGGGTACGCTGGAGAGTGGGCAGCTGGTGATGGGGAGAGAAGGAGAAACCAAGAGAGAAGGGTTGTGGTCGCCCTGAGCAGAGGTGTAACTCTCTGGAAATGAAAAGACAGCATTTCAAGTTAGACACTCACATTTTCTGAAATAAATATATGAAATATATATATATATATACATATATATTTCAACATATCATTAGGATCAAGGTTAAAACAGGCAAATCAGGGAAAGTGAAAAATTGTGTCTCAGTGAGGAGCAAAAGCAGTGAATCAAAACCATGGAAAAAAACATCAAATTTTAATGAGTTTTTTTGCTGGCATCCTCTAAAAGGCTTAATAAATTTTGGTGCAAAGTGGGTTTGTGCATGCATGATCCTGCTGTGAACACTAGTTCATAGCCAATTTATTTTACTGCTATGAACTCTAACAAGTTAATAGCTGATATCTGAACAAATCAAAATTAACAACTGGGACCTGGAGCAATTACAGAACCTCCCAAAACAACAGAAATGTCACACTGCAGTTTATACTCATGTTATTACAGTTAAATGTAATGACATTGTGACATCAGAAAATATTTACACACTAACAAAATTCAGGCATTTCTAGCTTTTGCTAGGGTATGACTATTTGGATGAAAAAAGAACATTTAGTTGAAATCTCACTAAATATCTCTCACCAATATGTCTAACTTAAATACACTATAAACATTTGTTAAGCACAAGGTAAAGTTGTTCATCATTTAGATGTGCCATGATTAAATGCCTGGACGTAACAGGAAAAGCAGCTGACCTTTGGCTACTTTTATATTATTTGACACAGATGCCGGCTTTGCATTATGTAAATATGCACATTATGAATTCATAATGCATGTAAGCTTCCTTATCAAAATATCAAACAGCCTTTAACAATAAACAAGGGAGACAACAACACATAATCAGGAACATTCACACATATTCAGCCAAACAAATGGCTTAAGGCACAGACTCAACAACGAAGAGTTTTTTTATCATATAAGCTAAGGGGGTAAATATTCAACCTGCTGCAATTATTACATGTTCAATATGTAGACTTCAGGTGATGTTGTGATTATGTTTCCTTCAGCTCACTATTTTACATCCAAGAACAAAAATGGTAATTGGATTAAATATTTAAATATCTATCTATCATGACTTTGAACATAGAACTCTTTGTAAACAAACCACCACTGTGAATGTACTTATAATAGTTCAACTCTGGGCTAATACAAAAACATACTTTCTAATAATATTTTTCATATATAATTACCAACACGCTGTACTTTTAAGGATTGATTTTTGTCAAAACATGTAAAAATGTCAAAGTTTTAAAGATTTTAAAAAATATTTTCCACTGACCAGTTTTGATGCTGTGTGTACACCCAGTGCATCCAGTGCTGAAAGAACACCCCCTGTTGGTGACTGAAGGCATGGTTCTGTAGGTGAAGCCATTCATTGCACAGGCGTCGCCATAACAGGGCGAAGCCACAGAGTTGCAGTAGGCGGGGTGAGCGAGCCCAGAGGTGTGAGACATCTGTGAACCCAGCAGCTTGGAGCCCGTCATCTGATTGGAGCACAAACTGGAAGGGGCAAAGTTCAAAGGTCGCGAAGCCATTCCTGGCGATGAGTTTCCAGTGTGAGTCGGGTGGGCGATGTGGACGTAGTAGCTGGAGAAGCAGTGGTCAGCAGTGCACAGGCAGGGGTGAGGGGTGAGAGTCAGGGCTGTGTGTGGGTGAGAATGAGTCAAAGACGGAGAGGTTACGAGGCACTCGCGCTTCACAGGAGTCATGGCTGTGTTCAGTGACTGATCTTTAGATTCTCCATAGGGTTGCTGGCCCAGGTAGAAGGCCAGTCGGTGGCAGTATTCCACTGAGCCCTCTGGAGGACAACAGTAGTATGGGCTCAGTTCTGCCTCCACCTGCTCCTCCTTTACCTGCTTTAGTGGGAACCCTAACATGCTACGGGACTGGTATCCTGGTTTGGTCAGTTGGTGGGGGCAGGTGCCAGTCTCCCACTCCACCTTAGGCTCAAAGTCTGCCTTCTTCTTGCAGGCTGTGCAGCCACTGTTGGGGGAGGAGGATTTTTTCTCCTGCTTCTGTGACCTCCCCTTTTGTTTGACTTTGACTTTAGGGTCCTGTTTAGGTGAGCAGGCGGGGACTGGGAGTTTACTGTCTGATGTCACAGTAGCTGTGGGTGGGGACTTAAATCTCTGTTTGCTAGTCGCAGATGAGCTGGTTAGCTTAAGCAAAGCTGCAGCGTTGAGTCCAGCCAATCGTACCAGACAGACTCTCTTGACTTGGCTCCCTACAGTCATTCCCACGGTTATTTTTTCTCTTCTTGGTTGTCTTGGAACTTTGGCAAACCTCAACATCTTTAGATGTTTTACCTTTTATTCCTCGTAAAGTCTTTAGGCTGACAGTGGCATTAGTTCTGACGGGGTTCGTTTCAAAAGGACTGACTCCATTTGCAGGTTCTTCCTGTGTCATGGCCTGTTTAGCTGCTGGCTGAGGGTCAGAAGTCCTTTCGAGCAGCAGACTGTTGACTGCCTCAGCATTGAGAGAAGCCAGACGGCGCTTGCGAGGTTGAAAGATGTGAGCGTACTCACCATGCTTTGTACTTACTGACTTTGACTTGCATTTAGCTGAATCCTTTACTTCTCCTTTTGCACTGTTTTTATCCTTTTTGGGTTTGTGTGATATATTTCTGTGTCCGTCTTTCTTTTCCTCTTTCTTAGAACCCTCTTTTTCATGGTTACTTTCCTCCAGTCGTGTGAGAAGAACGTGACAACTCAGCGCCTCATCACCTGAACCCCCTATCCGCCCCCTCAAGGGATACAGCTTCCTGTCCCATTTCTTGACCCGCCTTCGGTCAAGTTTTCTGTTCTGGTCAACTTTGTCTATTCTCTCTTTCTTGTGAGCAATCTTCTTCTCTTTCCATTGTTTCATTATCTCAGCAATCTTCTTTGTTCTGCCAAATCGTAGTGAGCGTTCAGTCCAGGAACCGTCCATAGTGCCACCATGTGGCCATAGAGGACCACTGTCCCACCAGTCAGTGTCACTGCTGCTGTGCCTTAGGGAAAACTTCTGCCTTGCTTGAGTCATCACATGCTTCTCCACAAGGCCTAAAGATAAAGAGACCAAAACAAAGTTAAAACTCAGATTTGTCAAAATTGCATATTTTTTCATATAAATAAATAGATGTAAGGAAGCATGAAATCAAGTGTGAGTGTGAAAAGTGAGTTAACCGGAGTAGCAGTGAACCACCAGGGGCTGCTCCTGCTGTTTTACATAGAACTCTATGTAAATACAGGTCAATTTATGTTTAAATTTCGTGTTTAAATGAGTTCTGCAGTGGAACGGGGATTCATTTTGACCTTGTTTAGCAGGACATAGATAATCAAGCAGCTGATGGCATGTGCATGTGACAGGTGTCATCATTTGATTTGAGCCAGATTGTATGAGAATATCTGACTTGTAAATGTCTCAGCGATGGCTTCGTGTACCTTCATTTCTTCATATACAGTTCATGGTTTTCCAGTGTCCACACATTACTCACAATCAGAAAAACCAGCCATCTAAGACGGTTTACACACTTGCCTAGCTGTTAATTGGATCCATTGAGAGCTGGTTCAGCACTACACGTGTTTCACATTTTATCACAGCTCTACATCTTTTTGTTGAGACCAGCATGCTCCTCTGCTATGGCCACACATTGTGATCAGAGCATGTATTAGATGTATTAGACAGAGGCAATGGAAGACTACAGTAAGCTTTTTATTTTACTCTACATCTATATTTTAAATTGTCTAAAGCTTTAAAGAGTTTTGTAACACAAAAACACAGAAAAGGCCATTAAAAGCTACAAACAAGACATGGACAATGACTACTGGACCTGAGATTTGGATTATATACAGGTCTGGATTGAATTCATATTAAAACTAAGGGTGAATAGTATCAGAAGAATGCTTCTGTGCTGAATAGCAGCAGCTGTCGACAGCCTGTTTCATCTCATTAGAACATGTCTGTGAGGGTGTTTTATGTTGCACTGTGGAAACGGATGCTCCGTGTCATTTGTTCACCGCGCTCACTGCTTTATCGTTTTGTGTGTACACAAAATGTATACAAACACCGTGTCAAAGCCATTTGTGTCATCCGTTGTACTTAAGACTGAAAGAGATCTCATAAAAGATTCATGAATGCACAACATGACTACATTTCTATTTCAACCTAATGACATCAATACGTATATTTGTATTGGTTTCAGCTAAAAAATATATTTGATCCTTAAAATTATGTCATGCACCTTAAATATTAAATGTTTGTTCATGTTTACATATACTGTATATCTTGTTATTCCTGTAGTCTAAATTAATTCTATTTTATTCTTTGAAAATTCCTCTGCACAGTTAACCTCGTCACAACCCTCTTTTCATGGCTTGTGTCTTTGTATAAACTACACATGACAAAAAAAAAAAACCAAAAAACTATGAAATCATACAAACCACATTAATGCCACACTGCAAGAACCAACGAGCTCTGCATTTTTTTTTGGGGGGGTGATAAAAAAATTAATATAAAATAATAAACAACCAAAGAATGAAAGTAAAAATCTGTGTTTTAGAGTTAATGAGGTGAGCAAAGCTGTTCCAGGATCTGCATTTTAAATCTGTGCATACATCCGCTTGTGCAGAAAAAAAAACAATTACTGTAGTCCATTTTCCATTGTTCAACGTTTGTTTTGTATATCAGATAATGTCTTTTTTTTCCTGTAACTAACGGAAGCATTTTCTCCAAACCAATTTTCACTCAAAACAATGGACATGGACGATTGTTTGGACTTAATTTTCCTCAATTCAGCAAATATCACCCAACCCCAGCTCCTATTATGGCTTTCTCTATTTCTTTCTGTAAGCACTTTCACTTCCAGGAGTCCCCATCTGCTCAGCTGAACACGGTGATGTGCAGCACAGCGAGGCCTGATGCATATTACTCTGCAGTCCAGCACATTCTTTTTTAAAATCTCAAATCACATTTGGGACCACCTGACAGCCAGGACCTGGAATTATAATATATTTATTTATCTTGATTTTGCCTGTGTCTAAAGGCCTGTGTGTCATTTAAACTGGATTTGTGAGCTGTGTGGGGATATAGATAATGAAACTGAATCAAAATATAACAATTTGATTTATAAACAATGAAACTTTAATGAAAAACAGTTTTTGAACACTGATCCAGGCAATGATCTCCAGCTCGCCTTCTCCCTGTCACTGGACTCCTGCCTCTGGGCTGAGCTCCTCAGACAAGATCTGATCAGTTTCACGTTGTGACCTTGCTCACATGGGATTGAAATTCAACCCCTGAGTAAAAGCAAAAAGTCAGAGGTGTTTTCACACCATGCTGAATATTCAATCTCTACATCCGCATTGGAATTTAAATGATTTCTTTGACACCGAACTAATATGTTCTCGCCCGTCTTCAAAGGTTCCGACATTAAAGAAGTAACTCACAGTCATATCGTGTCAAATTAAGGCATAAGTCATTCATATACAGGGCGGAGAAGTGTGGGAAGGGTTAATACTGAACACAAAAAAAAGCATTTCACCTGTGAGATACTAGCCCTCTGGTCAAAAGGGTAATTTAGCTCTTCAAAATGGTTTAAGCAGGTAATCCTCAGGAAGTAATTTCACATTTATGAAAAGATCAATGGCCTTGTGCTTTTCTCTAATTGGTTAGAAAACAGAACATCAGTCCCTCACAGGGGATCAAACAGAAGAATCGCTTGGTTCCTTTTGATATGATAAGACTTGCAAGAACACTCAAATCTCTTGAGAATGAACATGCGAGAAAAGCATCACAGGAGGATTCCCATAACAGCACTGAGGTGCAGAACTGAAATCCAACTGCCACAAAATTCAAGTTGATTCACTTTGTGAAGTTGGAGTTGCAGAGTTGAATCAGGGGGACCTTGAGGAAAGTCAAACTCACTTTCATCCAGTCGGTCGGTAAGCGATTAGCCCATTTTAACAGCCTTACATAGCGATTACAAGCACCGCATTAACTATTCATTATGTTGACGTGTTTATTTATGTACGTTTGCATTTAGAAACTTGTCTGAAAGCAGACTGTCTGTGTAGGCAGAATCTCACTCAAGTGTTTCTTCTATACACCTTCTATACATTATATGTACTTTAGGGCTGACAAGCTAAGTAGAAGGGTGTGAAATAAAATTAAAAAAAATAATGCTTATGATGTGTTAATACATCTGAAAAATTATTAAATATATTTGAAATGTGTAGGCAGAATGACGCATAGAGTATATCTAATAATCCCACCATCCATCCTCTTACTGTTCCTCTGATACACAGTCAATACACGTGTTACTATTTAGACACAGAGCAGGACAGAGTTTTCAGTTCACACAAGAACCGTGGCTCAAAACATTATCGCAAATACTAGCATGCTTTCTAGGCGGCTTCAACTTCAGATGAAAAGTCCAGCTTATGTCAGACCGGCATTACAAATAAAACAGATTTAAATTCCCTTTAGTCTAAATACTTGTGATGGATGGAAGACAGACTCCTGTTATAGGACCTGCAACCGTGCATCACATGACCAAAAAACTGTAAATGCACATACTCACAACCCTATTTCTTACGAAAACAACACCGTTTCCAAACAGGCCCAGATGCAGGATGGAACATTCGAAGGGAATACAAGAATTTAGCCACAAAGTTGAGATGATAGAGGTTTTAAAGCAGCCATTCCCAAGAGAAGGAGAGCAAAGCCCAGAGGGAGAGTAGTTTAAACTAAAGAAAGCACCGTCGCGGAGGTAGAGGAAGTGTAAAAACAGTGGCTATGTGGAGCACACATCTAACAGTAATGCAATCTAAAACCACAAAGACACAGACCCTATGTTACTGTAGCAGTAATCTATTCATTCATCTTCTGATCTGTGCTGTTTCTGGGCAAAGGCCACTTTGAACAAACAAACAACCAATCAGACCCACATCCACTTAATCCAATTCCAAATCTGCAGATGTTGGTCTGTGGCAGCAGTCAGAAAGATCCCACAGATACAGGAGGTAAAATGTTCAACTCTACAAAGACAGTCAAACAGTGACCACGCCTGGTCACAAACAGCTGACCTGTTCTTGTTCTGTGATCACATTTTCACTACAACTACTATAGCTCATTTGAGTGTTGAGGAGGACAAACAGGTAAATGTAAAAAAAAACTTTTGACCTTGAAATTTAATTTTGTTCACAAAATAACTTTCATACTATAATGCAAAAGAAAGATTAAGCAAATTTGGAGACCAAAAAAAAAACAAAACTCTAAAACTCTAAAATATCTGCAGAACATTTTCTTGAAGGGATGAAGAAAACAAAAATGTGTGCTCTGAGGAGAACTCTGCAGACAGATTATTCAACGTTCTGATTTTGCCCATAGAAATGAAATGTAAAATATAGTGTCAATCACATTTGACACTAAGCTCATTGAAATGGCCTTGAACCAAACTCTTAGGGGGCACATCACTCCACTTTATTCAATAAGACAGAGGGTCAGAATTCTGAAAGGTTTCTCAGACTGTACATCACACAGAAAAGAAGTCAGTTCTGCTCCAGATCTCTGGGGTCAAATTGACACCGCACTTCTAATTAACTCCCCCCCCCTTCCTTTTTTTTTTTTTGCTCCAACTTTCAGGTAGAGGCAGTACACATCAAAAATGAATAACCAGCAGGGTAAGGTAGCCTCTGTCAGGCTGAGAGAGAGAGAAAGAGGGCGAGAGCTCCGTGTCAGGGCTGTTGACAGGCAGGTTTAACTCGAGGCGTCGGCATGTAGAGGTTTATCTTGTGGAGATTGAAGATTACAAGAATTTCAAACATCATCATTCTCCCTCACACACGCGCGCGCACACGCACATATTGTCTTTTCTGGGACTTGCAGCGCAACATCGAGCTTCATTCACACCATTTTCCTCACGCACCTCCAGCTTATTTGGTGTTGGTCCACATGCACACAGTGCGTTGGCAAACATACCAGGCTCACAGTGGCTAAAGAATACAGTAGGATGGAATACTGTGCAGCCTGACGTAGGTTGCCCATCTGAAGTCGCCAGCCAGGCTCTAAATATGGGCTGGAGAGGGGAGGGGGTGGATACCCGAACACACACACACACACATGCATAAGAGCAGAATAAAGGGCAGTCACCCTCCTCCTGATAACATTTCTGAACGAATTCCTCATTAACCGATACGGTGGCTGTTCAGATCTCAGTTCTGCCTTTTCTCCGGGAGGATATGGCACGTAGCAGCAGCAGCAGCAGCAGAGCAGCAGCAGCAGAGGAGCAGCAGCGCTTGCGAATCGCTTCTGGTGCACGAAGCGAAAAATGGGTTTTGCGCTCCGCTCTGGACCGAGAGCAACTTCAAACATTCACAGCGGAATGGCAGCGTAAACAATACACATTTATGCATATAGATGTACACATATGTTTAGATAAAGCGTCGACACGGAGACTTACAGCTCACCGACACGCTTCCTCCTGCCAGCCGGGAGCCGTCGAACAAATCTGCGGGTGAGGAAGGGGAGGAGAGCCGGACTGGTGCGATGGCAGACCTCCGTAAACTGGGAGAGCTGGGGAGGGAGTGGAGGAAGGACGGTCGGTGGAGCTGCCCGTGTGTGTTAGTGTGCGTGCATGTGTGTGTATGTGTGTGTGTGTTCTTCCTGGTTGAGCTTCCACCGTTTTGTAGAAAACTTCATCTGAACCAATTGCACGCCTCGCTCCAAAGCCCCGTCCTCCAATGACAGGCAGACAGATGTTTATTATGAAGGGGGGTGTCAAAGTAAATATTTGTGCTGTTCGTGCGTAACTTGGTTCCACTATGACGCTACATCATGTCTGTCACTGCCCAGCCTCCTCCTCTCCCCTGTGACGACACACTCAGCCTGTCATTTGTCGTGACCAAACCACCAGTCCAACCAAATCTATTAACCAAGTCTATTAAAACATGTAAGGACTGCACACGGAGAGACATCAAAACTGTACCAACAGTGTTCCATGTGCCTTTGAAAGGTCCAAATGGAACCCAGTACTGATGGGAAGACGACAGGTCTATTCCAAACTTTAACCACCACGCATAAAACGGGAGTACAACAAAGTATAAAGGCCAAGTTTGCAGAAAATGGCTAAAAACACATCATCAGATGATCACAATTCAGTTGTAAAATTGTAATCAAACAAGTAAAATAAAATGAATGTGGAGAGTAACAAAAAACAGATACCGTAAAAAAAAAAGCACAGGGAAGAGCTTGTCATGATGACAGTCCTGCTCTGTCACAGTTTCAGTCAATGTTTTGGATTTTAAATCCTGATTTGTGTGTAAGAACCCAAGCAGCGATTGGCTTCCATCACAACTGAGTTCTATGGGAAGTGGGATTTTACTATAGTTCCCCACTTTGAAAACATATGGTTAAACAGGTACGTACTGAAAATTATAATATATCCAACAGTTTGTTTGCAATACAGGTACAGACGTAGCCCGAATGTTGATTATGACTGTCACATAAATATGTCAAAAAATATGACAAACAATAAAAAACAAAGCATCTTTGCCTATTTTGTTGCACATAAGTCATTGCTGCCACATTGTTTATGCCTACTTTGTATCTGGCGGGTGATTTCTTCACTGATTGGACAACGACAACGATGCATCCGAGAACATCGGGGAAAGCAAAACATGTAAAATCAAACATGTTTCATTTGTGTCCTGAGGCAGTTGAGCATCATTGACACTGCCCAGACTTGTTGTAAAACGATGTCTTTGAAGGGCCAATGTGTCCTGGAGCACTATACGTATTACAAGAGGCTGTACGTTGACTGCAGTATGAACCTGATCTATAAATAGGCTGCGCAGGCACCACAACACAATTATATATCCACATGAAAACATCAAAGCACATTAAAGTCATATATTCAACAGTGTAGAGCTTTAAAAACCTGGTGCCACACAAACATTCTAAAAGGTGTTTTCTTTAGCCGAACAAGCAATCTTCACAATAGCAATAACTTTACAGTAAATGGCTGAAATTCTTTACTGCCCTCACATCCCAGAACGCCACGTTTCCATTGTTTCTTGCCTTGGTCCAAACGTTTCGCCAGAGTGTGAGGGCACTACTTTGTTAGACAAGTTATTTTAAACAAATAATTTTTGGAAGTCAAATGACAAGGGTTTGTGCATAAAACATAATGTGTGGTAAATGCTCAGTTCTAGTCCACACGAGAGAGAGAGAGAGAGACAGGGGAAAGATGAGAGGAAAGATAAGACAATAAAAATGTCTCGTGTGATAAATGCTCAGCTATGATTCCACTGCACAAACACAACCTCAGGGCCAGAGGTTTCAAATAGACATTTTAAACAACTACAATTAGGCCTTAAGACAACTAAAGGTTACAAGTAACAGGTAGCCATAATTTAGCTAAAATGCATACAAAATATGTATAAACAGCACAACCTTTAGTGCTTCATTTGGACACAAAGTACTATTTTCTCAACTACAAATAATAAGAAATATCAGATTCATTACAATTTCCATTATTAACTATGACGTGTTTAGCTGTTTATAAATCACAATACATCCCCTTGATGTATTGTGATTTATATTTTACATAATGTATGCACGTGAATAACTTGTTTTTGCTTCTGTGAGTTCAGTTAAATATATCCTAACAGTCCTCAACAGGGAAAGAGGGAGACAGAAGAAAAAACAAGTGGAGTTACAAGCTCTTACAAGCAGAAGAGTTGAGTACACTTTTGTTAAATCAATTCAAACCTTACAGAAGAAAGGCCTGAGCCTTGTGCTAAAAGCATCTGCACTGATCGGAGCGTCATGGGGTGTCAAATAATCAATAGTGTTTACTTTTTCCGGAAGCTGATCTTTTATTACATAACATGAAACACTGGCTTAATACAGCTAAGTATACCTCCCAAAACCTATATTTTGGGTGTAATATACAAAGTACTCAAGAGTGCACCTGTGTGGCAGGTGTAATGAGCAGGAAGCCCGTACGAGGATCATAATGGATTCTAATAATGGACATTTTATACAGCAGAAATAAGGCACTGACAGAATATGCAGTAGGAGTGCCTTTGTACGTTCAGCATGTTCAGAAAATTCATATTCACACACAATATAACACAAGAAGAACTCTTAAGTCGCTCTTTCTTAGTAGTTCGTCTGGCCCCGCAATTTATATTCAAAAACAATTTATATCAAAATCGTCTATGTATGTAGTTATTGATCATTCCATTTAAAAAAAAAAAAGAAGAAAAACAACACCTTTAAAAAAAAAAAAAGAAGAAAAACAACGGTGCACTCCACAGGGTGAAGTTCGTGCAAAGTCTTGTAAAAGTTTACTGCAATGCATATGACTTGATAGCCGTGAATCTGTATTTTTATTGAAGAGAACCTCGTGAGTGAGAGCGGGAAGAACAGTGATTACTGTTTGAATAGACACTTTTGGACTGCAATAAAATGAAATGAATTATAATCATTCTAAAATATTACTTTTCCTTCAGGGAGAAAGCACATCTTTTTTTTTTTCTTTTTTTTTTTGAGACTCCTCTAAGGCTTGTGAAAGTGTCCTGCAGAAGAGGCTGACTGCTCAAGGGTTAATGCTTACTGCTTTCATTGGAAATAATTCAAAATTCAGAGTCTTACTTTTCCCATTCAGTGAAATTACAACACTAACTGCAACAAATTGGGCTTCGATGTCAGCAGCTGTTTCGAGTGTACTTTTAAAATCAGCTGACACGGCATATGGCAGAGCCTTCAGGCAACAATCACGCAACTACAACTTATGAAAGTGACTGCCACAAGGAAAGATACAGATTAATAAGAATTTAGTGATCTGAAAATACAGACTTTTTTTATTGACACAACCTGGTAGAGAGTCTATGACATGATTAAATGATTAGTATAAGTGAATAAGTATGAGAGTGAGATGTTTTCTTTTAGACAGATAAGACAAATGAAATCTCACTTTGGTCTATCAGAGCCATGGTGGACCCACAGCATGACAGAGGATTTAAAATGAATTTGACATTCAGAGCAGGGCTTCTACAGTGAAAAGGGCATCCTGGGGTTAATGAAGAAATTAAACATAAAGCTCTACGAGAGAACAATGTCACACATATTGAGATTCTGTGTTATTCACAAGGTCACACGGTAAAACTAACAAGACACTGCTCAGTGCGTGAAATAAAAGGTGTTAATATGTAAAGGGTTAAGCATACACTTCTCATTAAACTAGTCATTCACCAGTGATACACTCTTCAATGTCAATGTTATTAAATCTGAACAAACCATATGGTGAAACGTATGCTCTGTAAATATAAACATACCATTCGAATCCTTGAGTAAATGTTGTGACTTTGTTGTCGCTGACCTTTTTGAGCTGATGTAGTTTGGTGTGTTCTTAAGAAGTAAACACAGCAAAATGAATCTCTTCTCGCACAGACACAGAAAAAAAACTCAACTTTTAAGCAAAGGCGATGTAATCCTGTTCTTTACAATTCATACTTTAATTGCCTTAACCATAATACAGCATGAAGTCTACTTAAGACTGTAAGCTTGGCTGCCTTCAGTAACACCACATTACACCACAGTCTTTTTATTTTTGTCAAAATGAATCCAAAATCATAAAATTAGAATTAAAAAAATAAATTCCACTAATGAGATGTTGGCTTGCCTAAACTTGTAAAGATTTCATTAAATTAATTCATTATTATTAATTATTATTATTATTAAAAAGATTCCACACACATAGGACATGCAAATATGTCTTTTAGTACTTAAGGTTTTAAGCCTGCATGCTGTCAAAAATGCAGGGCCAATTCATAGCTGATTGCCTGTGCAGTTATAGCTCAGTGATAATTATTACTGCTTTAATGAGAGGGCAGTAGTCAGTCATTAAATATGTTTATATTAGGTTTTGTGGCATTTATGATGATAAAGTGACTCAGGGTGTGTTCCACTGGACAGAGACAGAAAACATAACAGAATGGGCCCAGAGTGTTGACGGTGCGCTCCAGTCGGCTGTAGAGGCTCCGAAAGATTAATGTTCAACTGCAATAAACTTGTGAGTCAAGATTGGCCTGGCAGCTTTTTCATTTACACTGTGGGATAAACTGGTGACACCTCTGAAAAATGACACTTGGCAGAATAAAAACGAAACAGAAGTTCATTTATGACAGTGTGAGATTCACAGCTGTGGGATAAAACTGTCCAGAGATACGGAGGAAAAAAAGACCTTAACATGAAACTGTAGCAGAAAGGTATCCTTACACCCAAAACAAAAAGTCTAAAATACCTACTTTACGATTTGTTTCACTAAATCATCAACAAAGAAGATGCATCTGATCACGTTTCATCACCAACATCTTCTACAGATGGATTTTCTCTGCACGTAACCCAGCCGTGAATGAGAGCAGAGGGCTACACTTTCAGTGGGAATTGTGGTGCTGGCTGGGATTTGAACCAGTAATCCAATCTTACAAGCCCTGCCCTCTGACAACATGCAATGGTCTAATGTATTCAGATATTCCATAAGATGTCTTCTCTACCACACTTAAATAGATCATACTTGGCTACTTACTGTGCAGTTAATAGCTGCTTTTTAAATTTAAGATTTCAAATTAAAAATGTGACAACTTTAGAAATGATACTAGCAAGAGGTTATGCATCATCCATCCCTAAACCTGGCCAGCATCCAAGCCTTCAGTGTCGTTAAGATAGAAAATGTTCAGAATTACTGTAGAAACAATGCACAGCACACCTGTCCAAATCATTTTTTTCTAATGATACACGGATGAACCTTCTCTCAGATACAAACTCTTTCATTGTCTTTCACAAATCCAAACGTTATCCTCATTAACTCACTATAGTATATATAGACCTTTTCATGTTGCAATCAAACATGGAAATACAATTGGAGATAATAGGTCTGTCCCGCTGTGACTAACCACTAACCTAGGACATGTCTGTCAAAGTGAATTTCTTTAATAGAATGAACAAATACCAGACTCTCCTGATGTTTCTTTTTAAAGCTTTAGGGTTCCAAAGCTACATCTTTACTGTAGTTTCCATGCAGGAGAAGAAAACGCTCTGTGTTTAGCAACACTTACACTTAATTCCTGCATACTTCACATTAATGAAGCTTATTTTTAATCAGTTAATAGAAGAAAAATGCAAGAAAACCAACATTAAAGATTTTAAAGACCGTTAATGTAGAGGTCGTTAAAATGGGATCATGGGGAGCAGTAGAAAATTAAAAACATGTACATGTAGTACTTTTTCACATGTCACATGTGTTTCCTGTATGTATAGGATGACCGTTATATAATGTTCATTAAAATCAGATCAGTTGCAGATTAAACCACCTTTGACTTGAACTTTCTTTGATTTACGTATTTTTGTTTACAAAATAAGTCAAAGGAAATCTATTGCTAAATATACACAATATAAACACGATACCTTAACAATACCAGATAAGGCTGGAATTATTTAAAGTATGGTATTTATAAAGTATGAAAACACCTACGTTAGTTTGCGGTTATTGACCTTTAACACGTTGAACTGATGTATGAATAAAATGTGTGAATGGAAGGAAATACCAACCTCATGTTTGCTCTTTCATTGTAGAGACAGGTTTAACTTTGTGAAATATCATCTGTGTATGTTGGACACAGACTGTATATAATTAGCATCTGCTCCTAACTTTAACAGTATCAAATCAAACATTAGCTGAGGGGACAAAAATAACATGTTTCTTAAATAAAAGTAAATAAAAGAGTAGGCCTAAAGTCATAAAAATAATATGATTTCAATCTAAAACATCTCATTGTAAATGAAAGTAGTAGAAACAAAATGAGTCGATGATTTGGAAATGTTAATAAGTGCGTTGTAAAGGTCTGCAGGTGAGTATTCAAACATGAGCATTTAAGGCTATTTTCAGAATGAGCTCCACACTGACTATTTTTAGAACACTGCTGTGGACACCTGAATGGCTGCCTCTAGGTACCAGGTGTCCACTACAGCTGAACACTGGGAATTATTTGTATAGGGATTGACTGACTGTTATAACTGACATTTTCATTTAGTGCCAGGATACAAAATAATTAATCCACAGCTGCCAAGAGATTATTAAAAAAGTTGTAATTGTTTGAGGGCTTTGATACTGGCAGCAATGCACAGGTAATCATTTATTACTATGAGTACCAGCAAGCACTATAATAATAATAATAATAATAATAATAATAATAATAATAATAATAATAATAATAATAGTGATAATAATAATAATAATATTTATTAATAGATATATTAGTATAATAGTATTTAATCACAAATGTCCTTATTTTTTATTGCACAATAGTGCTGTGTAGAATCTGCTTTTTTAATCTTGTTTCATCACATTGCAGCTCGATCACAAATGTTTTCAAACCTTTGGTGAATGTGGTCTGTGTGGGCTTTTACTGAAATTCTGATTACACAAAGGTCTATTACCTTGGTAGAAATAACAAATGAAGTACTCATCCTTCAGTTCAGTTCAGTTCACTTCACTTCAGTTTTTGCCATTCAGTTGAATGAAAGATCTGTGCAACAGCAAACTGTTATCTCTCACATAGACATTTCTTGTGTAATGCCTAAACGACCGTGACCTTTACAGAATACTGAGGACAAAGCACTGCGATATTTACACTGATTTCATATAAAGGTATTCAGGCCGTTTTTGAAAGTTTTATTTGCACTTGTTTCTGAGAAAGCACAAATGCTTCTTTTTTTTAATTATAGCTACTTTTCTTCTGACACAGAACCATACCTGGAGCCCCAGCCCCAAATCTCCAGAGGATTTTTAGTGATGTCATGTAATGAGCTCATTGCCTTCTGACCTCAGACTGAATCCTCTTTATTCACCTGAGCAGCTATTAGTCTATTCCACTCCCCCACAACCACACGTCACAGATTCTGGACATTTGCAGGAGAAAATAAATCAGACACAAACTCTGAAATTTCTCCGTGTTCAGTACATCACACTTATATGTTTACATATTTAATAGCTTTATATAAAACCACAATTCCTATTATGCTATTGTGACTCTGCAGAACAGGATGTTCTCTTCTATTCAGAGCAAGTCGTGGTGTCCGTGAGGATTACTTATCTTCACAGGGTCAGCTGAGATGACCTCCAAAACAATGACTATAAGGTGTAACAACAAGATGTTATGTTTTAAGTACACATTAATGACTACTAATCAAGTGCCATAATTATGATGTAATTACATATACTTTTCTTGATACTATATGTAACTTAGAATATAATGGCTCAAAAACAATGAATTCTTAAATAAGAGCTGATGAAAGCCAGGCTTTGCATCTAAAAAAGGTTCAAGTTAAGCGACTTTTTTAAGTGTTTACCTGTTCCATGTCAACCACTAAGTAACAGTGATTAACCACCAGAGGTTGTACTGTAGTCCCAGGAGGAAGAACCCACGGCAGCAGAGACAGTGTATTAATTGACACTGTTCTGTCTCTTTCACGTCTTCACTTCCCTCCCCCAAAATTCAACACCAAGCAAATCATTTTAAGGTGCTTCTCTTAGATTGATGGAATTTTTGACAGAACCAAGAATTATCTGGTGGTGATAAATGGGAACAATAAACGGTCATTATCTTAATTATAGCCATTTGGAGCTGATTAGAAACCTGTTGTGTTTTACACTGCTATTTAGACAAGAACGGAGAGCAGACACAGTCAAACTAAAAGAGTTTATTTAAGAACGTGACAGGACTTAGTTGGGTTTTTTTTTAGAAAAAATAAAGATAATGTTGTGTGATTGGTATTCTTTATTTTTGTCCCGCAATAGGAAAATATTATTTTTTTTAAAAACAATAGACTGTTGTTTAAGATAATTACTGTATAGGGACCAGTGAGTTGTCAGGAAAATGTTTGCTGATGATTTAAAAAGGAAAGAGTAGTAGTAGTAGTAGTAGCAACATCTGACCAAAGTGAATGAGGCTCAACTTGAAACCTACAACCAAGCCTTGACTGTCAATAAAGTTTTCTGGATCTTGAATGAGAGAATATCTTCACATCCTCAGTGAAGGACCACAAACATGGTTCCTGGGCTTAAATGTTACACAGTGGAACAAATATCCAGGTGAACACACAGCACATCCATCCAGATGTGTCGCAATGTGAGTGGACTCACAGGAGACGGGGTCATTGACCTAATCCCAGTCTATTATTGCTTTAGCAGGTACTCTGGTGGCAGGCAAAGGAGGATATTGGGGAGTCTATGATCTCTCCCTTTCACACACACACACGCACATTGTACGACCAGTCGATCAGTCAGTACCACTCCCTGAGAATCTCCTTCATCACCAGGACCATTATCTTAGCCCCTGCAGCGTCCTCCACACATTACTTTAGACCAAAAAGCACTGTGAGGAAAGTGGAGAGAAAAGCATGGCCACGAAGCAGATGAACAGAAAGCTCAATGAGAGGAGATAATGTGCGTGGAGCGGAGGCGGCGGCGGCACCAGCAGCTACTTACCGAAGCTCTCGGTCTGTCTGCTGCCTCTCCTACTGTACCTCCTCCGCCGCTCCAGTCCGGGCCACCTTGATTCTCTGAAAACGGTTGAAGAAAACAAACACCAAACGCCACTGAGGTTTTCACACGAGAGAAACCAACTGAAATTTAGAAGAAAAAAAAGCCTTCCGAGTGAGCGAGAGGAGACGGAGCAAACAACTCCTCTCTCGCAACACTCTTTTTCCACACCAGCAGCGTCTGTTGGGACTGTTTTTGGAAATTAAATTACAATTCCCTCCTAGTTCATCCACTCTGCCGCGGAGCTGAAGTGCTGCTGCAGGAGTATCTCCCACTCTCTCGCACACACGTCGCTTATATCCGTCACTTGGCACCAACACAGACGGCAGCTTTCAGTTTGCGCACCAGTCACAGTCTGCGCTGCTACTGAACAACAACTAGCAGCAACAACAGCAGTGACAGACGCCAGGGCCTGCCCCCCCACCCCCCCCGCCTCTCTCCCTCGCACCCTCCTCACCCCTTCTTCCTCCTCACACCACGAGTCCACAAACATACAGGACAAGGAAATATCGCTGTTCGTGCGAGGGTCCAAATGCGAGGAACCAACACGTTTTGCACAGCGACAACATCCTCATCCTACTTCTGCGCTGAGGCATGTGATGGCAACATGGTGCGCCTTTTAAAGGCGTATCCACGCGTAACTACCTCGTTGGATCCACCCCGTTAACTTTGTCAGAGGAGGGATGCGCTGAGGCGCTCTGGGCTGGACATGGTGGTGAGACACAGTAGTACCGAGTTAGTAAATAAGAATGATAAGTCGGAAATTAATAAGAATAGACTCATAATATTACAAGAAAGTGCTGTGAGCTACAAGAAAAAAAGTGTTAATGAGAAAAACATTTTCATAGTAATTATAATAATTATTAATAAAACTGAATCTTCCTCTTTATCAAGAGCTTCAGAATCTGTGGACAAAATCTGTGGAATATTTGCTACATGAACACATAACCTAACGTAACCTGTGGAAATCCCCTTAAGTTTCTAGTTTTCAAACAACATGCTTATCAGGTACACCGTGTTTGTACAATATTGCTATGTGTAGAGACAACAGAGCCATTAAATATCATTAATTACCATTAGTGTGTTTCTTTTGTATAACAATGCATTTTGAAGTTAATCACCTGCAGGTTTTTGTTCCAATGCACCAAGAGCACACAGTTTGACCAATCAGCTGTCTGGAGACCAGTTGATTAAATGTATTGAGTCAGGTTGCTACTTGGTTGGAAGAAAAAAAACTGCAGCCACAGTAGAACAGTTTGGCCTCCCATGCTGGCCTCTAGCTAAGTCATTTAAAGTACATATCTGCTGTAGACCTGTAAATTTAATTATAATTTTATACTTCACTAATACCATTTGTAGATAATGTTGTTTTGGTGTGCTTGACTTTTTACTGATGCACTAATGCTCTGGGTCATTTCATTTATTCATAAAATTCTTAAACCAAATTAAACCACTTTAGAAATAATATTTTGCAGTATCATAGTAAAGTACTTGATTCACATTGACTGTGCAGCACTGTAGCTGGATGTTTTAAGCCACATATTTTTAGAAAAGTGTTTACTTTACTATCAAGGTCATGTGCAAATAAGACCTCGCTAGATCAAGTTTAACTCTCCATTTGAGATAATTCCTTTAAAAAGAAAGTACCACAGACATTTTAATAGAGAGCAGAAATCACTTTGTCACAGTAGACAAACCTTGAAGTGTCTCCATTCCATGGCATATTTTTTAGAGCATTAATTCTACACTTCAGGTTCAGACTGTGCAAAGCTGTCTCTCAACCCTGTGCTCTCTCTCACACAGTCTGCGTCGCATGCAAATTCGCTCAGCTCCTCCTCAAAGCGGTTTCTGCACTTTTACACTTCTCTGTCTGTTGAGATAGGACGAATACAATGTGGAGTGAAGACACAAGGGAATCAATATTTGAGCACACGCTTCTAAATACAGATTAAAAAGGTCCATTAAACCATAGGACTCAATAAAAGCTCAGCAGCAGTTTTTTTTTTCTTTTCTGTAGTTACATCTTCACTGTATGGAAATGTCATCAGGGCAAAAATAACTTTACTATGAACTGGCTATTTTATATAAACAAACAGAATGAACAGATAAACCACAGACACCGTCTTCTGGGTTGAAGACACCATGAGGTGATGATAATCAGTAATGGTTTGAACTGTTAGCACAAACCAAGAACATGCTAACTAGATTAGTTATCCAGCACTCCAGTTTTGCAGCCAGTGTAGAGCTCATCCTTAATTACCAATGTACACACACATGAAAACACTGTGGGATTCACAATTAAGCTGAATCAGGGTAAAGGAAGGCTAAAGGGAACAACTGCTAACTAGACAGAGGGACAGAGGAAATAAGTTGGACAAGTTGGAACATGAACTGCTTTTTGTCAACGGCAAGGCCAGTGGGCATCTGTCCATTAGTGTATAGTCTCTGTACACTGTTATTACCCCATCCACTATGTCACTGATATAAGGCAAAACCCAGAAGATCTCATTCTTCTGAATCGACCAGGTTTATAATATTTTACAGTTTATTTAACTCTTATAGTCAGAATTGTCTGAACAAAATTGCCATATGAACAGAAGAGAGAGGTGTTACATTAGATATATGAAAATGCAGTATAGACACACACACGTGCACAGTTATTACTTTTGCAATAATATGCACAGCTTCTGAAAGATTAATAGGTTGACCTGTGAAAGAAAAGGAAGGAGTGAAATTTTGGTCATGCTGCTTAAACCACAAAATGGGAATAAATGAGGTGGCGAACGAGCATTCAAAGGTGTCTCACCTCTCACAGGAATATTGCACTCAGTTATGTCAGCCAGTGGAAAAACATGTTGTTCCTTTAAGTCAGACACAGCGCTGGTCTCAAGATGAGGCTCTGAAAAGCTCAAAGGTAAAAGTGAAATGACTCACACTCATTTTTCCTCTGTCTATAATGAGCTCAGTCTATCACCCAATCCACTCTCCTGTCATCTTTGAGAACTTAACAGACAAATCACAACCCCCTGACCTCAGACAACTATCGACTGTTTAGTGCCATCTGGCCAACTTACAACAATGAGGAATTCAACAGTTGAAATCGTGGCCTCGAGGATCTTTATTTCTTGCATTGGACTTGTAGGTAATGTAATCCTCATCATGTCCATCATTCAGACCAAGTTCTCACGGGTGAAGTCCTTTGAGTTTTTCCTGATTGGATTGGCAAGTGCAAACTTGGAGGAAATTGTCATCATGAACATCTACGACATTGTTATTCTCGACGCTGTTTTCTCAGCAACAGGCTCTTGGTCGTGTCGTGCACTCAAGTTCCTGACTCTTTTTGGGGAAGTGTGCAGCATCTTTTTCACTGTCCTGATCAGCATCTTCCGCTACCAGAAGCTGAGAGATGCCAGTAAAAGGGTCAGTCTCCCAATCTGCTTGGACAGTATCAGGTCTGCCTGGATGGTGAGTGGCATTTGTGTGGTTCTCTCCATTCTCTTCAGTCTCCCTGTTTTCCTCATTAACCTGGATGGACCTGGGGACACAGCCGCAAACAGCAGTAACTGCCCGCCAGACTTCTTTCGATGCAGTAGAAATGATTGTCCCACTCTTAACCGCTCGTTCAAATATGGATTCATCATGATATGCAACCTGCTGCCTCTAATCATCGTCACACTCACCGGCTGTCTCATCCTCAGAGTGGTGCTGAAACAGAGGAGGATAGGAGTATAGTGGCAAACGGGAGTGGCTCTGTCCCGTCCAGTAAGAAGGGTAAAGGACCAGGGCTTCAGAGAAGTGTGATAGCTGTACTGGCTGCTACGGGGTTGTTCCAGATAGACTGGACTCTATACCTGATCTTCCAGCTTACTTTTAGTCCTGCTGACTTTCCATTTTGGGCTGAAATTGAGTTCTTTATCTCTATATTCTACACATCCATTAGTCCATATGTGTACGGAATAGGAAATAACCTTTTCTCAATCAGAAACTTTATCAAGAAATAATGTTGGGCTTTCTACGAATGGGCAGAGAAAAAAGCTTTAATGAACAAGAATAGCAGGAATTTAGAGACTAGGCTTCAACAATGAAAAGCAATTTAGATTATCTTGTTGTTATTCAGCAATTGAACTGCAGTGGCTGTATGAAACATTAAAAGACTTTGTGAGCTTGAAAAACAATGTTGTCAACAACTTTGGAAAGAGAGGGACAAGTGAGGTCAATGTGGTTTAATAAGTGTAATGTAAATTAAACCACGCCAGTTGTAAAAACTCCTTGCTTCGGTCTGACAACCACAAACTCAGAACATCTTAGTTTTTATTGGATCTTAACTTCTTACTGCACTGCAAAGTCTGAAGAGTATGAAGAGAAATTCTGCTCCTCTCAGTCTCAGACCCAACTGTGCCATCCTCTTCGGAGCAGATGTGCTATTCATTCAACACTGATGTGCTGAGTCATTGGCATCCAGCGAACTGAGCTTCACAGGATGTCAGTCTGCTACTGTACATCAGAAGAAAGGAAAGATGGTTAAGATAAGGATGATTATTTTAATTAGTTTTGAGTTGTAGCAGGATGTTTTCATGGCTTTGATTTCAATACATCATGTTAAAACCACTGCAACAACACTGTATGTTTGGATTTGCTGTATGGTATATTGAAATGGTCTAACAGCATAAAATAACAGTTGAGTCTTAAAATGTTTGATATTTGATTATTAAATATTTGATATTTGATATTTTTTACATAAAAATTGAAATACTGGTACATGTTTCACATGTATCTATGGAATAATATCTAAGGTCTGCCACTTGTCATGTAAAACAGATGTATGAAGTATATTTGATATGTTATATAACAAAGATGCTGTTCACTGGAATCCATAAATTAAAAGTTACATTGACCTTAATACAGAAGATTTCCTTTATCAATTTATTGATGTATTTAAATCAATTTATTATGTCATTAATTACATATAATGTTATTAATTACAGACATAAGTATTCCTTAAAGATGATTAAAGCTTTCAAAAAATTTGCTGTTTTGTTTTTCTGAGCCCACATGTAGTGAAGAAGTTTAATATTTAATTATAAATAAACATACATAAACTGTAATTTTTTAAACCTAAGTATACATTGAATTTAATGGCAGCTCTTACTAGCTGCAGCCAATGTCTTGATTTGACAGTCTTAAGTTAAAGTTGTATTAGCTGTAACCCAAGAGGAAGAAGTACTGAAGAAATATTTATTGTTATACCCATAATGCCATTATAATTACAAAGTCAAGTCGACTTTGTTTGTATTGACCTAATTCATTAAACAAACAAAAAAAGAAGATTAAATAAAATATTTCCATATTAAAAACCAACATACTAGGGAAAAATGGTGAAATAGATATACAGATAATATTGTACTGAGTTTAAATTTACAATGCATAGCAAAGCAGAATAAGTTTGACAGATATAATTCAAATTAGAATTAGAAAGATAGATTGTATCTATCTGTATATAATTTTATTTTTTTAAACATTAATTGAGATGTCAGAGTTTTCTGTTGTTTACACTGACTAGAAAACGTGCTATTACAACAAGTATGTGTCTGTCTGTGATTTATGTCAAACCCAAACATTTTAAGATATTTTTTAATCAAATTGTACCTTAAGATTGTCTTGGTCTTTAAAGTTTTTTGGAAACATTTTTAATAATTGTTTGAAACTCGTTTTACAAAGCAGGTACTATTACAAAAAAAAAACATTATGAGTGTGTTATTATTATTTTGTAATTGAAAGAGCTTGTATTGGTATAAAAAAAGTTTGTCATCGACATTCGGGGGAAGTGGGAGGAATCTGACGGTGTCATTCTTTGCAGAGGAACAAAGAGAAGTTTTGCGCCATGTTTGTATGTGAACGGGATTGTGACTGTTTTTATTTGGTGACTGGTGGCATCTAGGTTGGAACAGGTTATTTGAAAATAATCACGTCGTTTGCTTGATTTTGTCATCACGTGTCGCACGTTATAGATTTTTTTAAGGACTCATTCATCGCACAGAGATTGCGCATTTTACCACATGAGCTAAACCGCCATGCAGCGGGTGTTACGTCACAGCGGGCGCAGAGAACGTGTGTAGGAAGGGCAGAGAGCCGTGTGACTGCGAGTGCGTGTGAGGTTGCGTTTGTCAGTTTACCCCGAAGAGTGTGAGGACGAATAATCGATCGATCAAGTAATAGTTCAACAAATTTAATACGAGTGCGATCATTTGTTTAATTGTTAATGAGGCGAAGAACAAGTTATTTAGTTGTTTATGAATCTAGGGAGACATTATGAAACCCGAAATATTACAGGTTAGACAACAAACATGTAACACAGTATAAATTATATGTATATATACTGTATAGAGAGAGAGAGAGAATGAGAGAGAGAGTCGTAACAGAAGAAACAGGTCTCTAAAATGAGTAAAATCTGATAAATCTAGACAATACTTAATATAAATTAAGTTTAAAAAATCAAAGTATTTAAATTTAACAGGTTTTCAAAAATTAACACAGAAAAGGTTAAAGGGAAGAAAAATGTTATTAATTCACCTGTAAAGTTCATAAAAGGGTCGTCAGAGAGCATTCAAAAAGAACTTTTCTACTAATATTGCACATTTTACAAAACAACTTTTTGTTTCGTTGGGCGGAGGTGAATTCCTATTCTCAGTCTTTAAACACCGAAACTAAAGAGGTCACAGTTAAGAGCCACATTTGTAATGTGATTCTATATTACACACAACCCCAAATTACCATTTGTTTTCTCTTTCCTTTTCTAAAATGCACTGCGTGTTATATTATACAAACGTGCTTATTTTGAGATGACCGTGTTTTGGTTGAAATAAACAAAAAACAAACAAACAAAAAACGACAACCGTTGTCGTTAAAATTGTTCACTTAGAGCCTGCGCATTGGCTACTGGAGCTGGAACGCCATGGTGGATGTGTGACGTCAGAGCACGGATGTTTGTGTGTGAGAGCGTGCATGTTTTTGTGTGTGAGAGATCGAGAGGTGCAGAGAGCAGTGTGACTTTTTTGTCTGTGTGAAAGTGAGTTTGAGAATTAACATGTGATTGAAAAGACGTCCGAAATAAAGGTAAGATTGAGGAGAAAACTGCAGAAATTATACAACATATGATTTACCATTTCACGCAAACTTTGGGGGGATGGGTCGTCGGTGCGAAAACAGCGCTCGAGGTGACAACACGAGAATAAAATATTTAAGTTGGAAAAAAAAACAAACCCTGAGATGCACGAGTTCCGGCTGCCTCGCGCTGGCCGTCCGGGAGTCTCGCGCCTTTTAAGTGGGGGGTGAGATGCTCGTGCACAATCACTGACTCCTGCGCGTGCACGCGTGGGTCGGTCGATAGGAGCACACTGGCGTGGCCGTCGGCCTCCATTTGCCACTTTGTCTTCACGTTCGAGGGACTCGTCGGAGACATTTCCCCGACGACAGCTGCGTGCAACAGTTGGAGTTTCACCGTGTATATGTCGGTCTGCGGTCCACGAGGGTTTCCTGTGCTCGTGGAAGCTGAGGGGTGGGAGAAACCTGCAACTTTCCCAACTTGGTGAGTGGATCAGAGAGGAAAGCTCGGCCCTTCCTGCTCTGCGCGGCGTGTGAGTGTGAAGCGAAGCCTGTTGTTGACAAACAGTCGAAGTCGTCAGCGTGGATCTCAGTTTTAGAAAAGAAAAATATTTACAAACACGTCGGCGATGTTTGGTTTAAACGCTCGGTGGGACAGTGGTCATCTATAGATCACAGCATCTGCGTGTGTGCGTGTGTGACTTGGTGGTTTTAGGGAATAAACGGCCGGGCAGTTGAAGGCAGGTCTTCGCTACCGGGTTTGTCCTGTGGGGAGAAACGGGCGAGATTAGGTGATGTGTGGAATGTAAGCGTGTCAGTGGCTTCGTCTGTAGTTTGAAAACAGGCCTCTCTGTGTTTATCAGCCATGTCCCCTGCAGCTGAGGGCTATCGGGCAGGCGATTGGTCAGTCACTCCACCTTCACGAAGACAAAGTCCACTGTCTCCTTCAGACAGTCACTGAGGACAGAACAATGTTTTAACTCAGTACCATACCATTATATATTTCGTGTTTGGCTCTTGATTGTGTATTTTGAAAAAGACCACGATTATTACCATTTTTTCTTATATACAATAGATACTTATCACGCTGGAAGGTACTAGCAATAATCAATCCCTGACAAGTATAAGATGCCGTGTTTATCTGCCGGTATGTAAATCTCCGTCTATTTTTTTTTTTTTTTTTTAGTTTTTTTTTTCACGTGCTTGTAAAATTTTGAGTTAGAAAAAGTAACATACGTATTTAAAATACATCCAGTAGGTGGCAGTAATTAAAGTCAAAGGATGTAGAGTTGCTGTTATGACGTTTGGTATTTTAGCATACCTTAGCTCAGGAGGAAAACTTAAACTAAATTGATTTATATTTCAAACTGGGACATAATGTATTATATTGCCATCACTGGTCGCAGCAACTATTTAGCCGTGGAGATTGATGGTTGTCTCTAGATGTATTTGTCCTGAAATGCAGTTTTGTCAATTTGAGCAACACAATAAGATGTTTTGCCATTGTCATTAAATTAAATATTTACAAATGCTATTTTTTCGGATATAACATCTATCTTAACTTAAATCTTTTGAGTTAAAAGACCAAGCCATGCCATTATGAACAAGTACTAGACGAAAGTTTATTTTTTTAAAAATGTGTCGAAGGCCGGACATTTTTGTGGTCCCAAGCCGACCTGACAAGTTTGTTCCCTCAAGACTTAGAAAGAAAGTTTTTAAACAACTTCTTCAAACTGAGTTGAGATTCCACAGAAGACAAGAGAGACTGCTCTTCAGTGTGGTTAGTCAAGAGCCTCGAACCACAGCTTCAGAAATGATTAAGACGAAAGCGTACATTTTTCCATCTTATCAAAACTGTGTATTCTTAATCACATTATATCACAAGTTTACGAGGCATTACCTGAGTTGTATCAGAGGTAATGCTGGCAATGCAAGATGTGCATAAACACCATGTATAATAAATAACCAGAACAGTTGTCTGTATAATAATGTGTCCCTGGCCAAGACACCTACAGTGGGATTTAAGATGTAACAATCTGTAAAGAAATGGATTTGTGTGTAAGTGGAGGAATTAAAATAAACATGGTATAACCATGGTATATAAAGGTAATCATAAATGAAGTGTTTTCTGTCATCGTCTTTGACATTCTCCTGCTATTTCTAATGAAAGAAAAAAAACAATCCTTGATGCCATAATGAGCTAATTTATTTAATGAAATGCTATGATCTTTCTTAAAAACAGCCCTGTTGTGATTTTATTTGTTATGCGTTGATATGAAATGGGAATACACTGCTGTGGCTCACCCAGATCAAATATCTCTGAACTTGATCCTGCTCATGCTCTTCAGTTCGCCAACAATCACAGTCAATAATGCTAAAAAGCTAATAAATAAACCTCTTCAATGATGAACTGCTGCACCTCACTAATATTGCCTTTTATTCCTATGCTAATCATTTAAATTCCCTGATAATCTGACTACACCTTTTAGTTAAGGTCATGCTTTTCCGCAAATTATACTGTCATTGACAGACATCACACTGCTTATGCTGCAGTTAACTCCCACTAGGCCTGTGAATATATTTATGGAATATTGTTTATTTGGACAATTCCAAGTTGTTGTTTTAAATTCTGACAGTGTTGATTAACAGTCCCACATTGTATGTGGTATCCTAACTACATTCTACAAGTTTTACATTTATCTAGCCTGTTCCAGTGGAAACATCCCCACAAAGAAATGAGCTATAGCAGATGAATGTACATTGCTACATTTTAATACATTTTTTCTACAATCTCTGTATAGTCTTATAATGAATAAAGCCTCTTAATTTATCTGATCTGGGGTAAATCATTAGGTTATGCTGTAAACACATGTTTACGACAGTGACATAACTGGTTATTACATATAAAATCGGTTTATTACCTTGTGTATGTGCTTCCTGTTCAAATCACTCTTTTTTTATTTAAATGTCATTGTAAACATTGATTATGCAAAGATTTAGATTCAGATATGGTGTTCATACTTGTGGGGCTGTTAGGAGGGCTAATCGTGGCACATGGAGGGAAAATGAAGGTAATTAAAAGTACATTTAGAGAACAACAGACATGATCAAGAATAAGCAGTGGTGATAAATAATGTAAATGTGAAATTCCAATGTTGAAGGAGGAGGTAGTATACTCTATAATATTTCATTATATTTATTTATTATAATTTTAGGTATCAGATGAAGTCATAGGACACTGGCTGACGCCAAGCTGTGTTCCATGGAGGATGCCATCATACTGGAGAATGAAAGCGGAAGCATGACCAAAGACTGCCAGCAGACAACTATTCCTGATTCTTTACATCCTTTTTCGGCCACCATGAGTAAATTAAATGATGAAACATTTACTGAGAACCAGGCTGTCTCCATGGAAAGTAAAGACTGCAGTTCTGCTCTCTCCTCACCTGCTGAAGCCTGCCCACCTAAACCTGCTGCGACTCCCCAAAGTACCATGGAAGCGACAAAGCAAATAACAGCAACCTCAAATAGAAGATCAGCTTCAGACTCTTCAAAAAGTCCAGTGACAGGCCTTATTGACGTCTTATCCATGCCACCATTGTTGACCACATTGCCATTCAACACATTTGGCAGCCCTAATGGGGAGAACGATTTTCCCACTGAAGTAATCCAAAAAAATGTTACTGTCACATTAGAATGTAACAGTGTGTGGAAGCAATTTCACAGCCGCGGAACTGAGATGATTCTCACTAAACAGGGGCGTCGCATGTTCCCTTATTGCCGATACCACCTGTCTGGCTTAGAGCCTGAGCACCATTACCGTCTGTTCCTCTCCATATATCCATCCGACCCGTACAAACACCGTTGGAACTGGGCCACGAAAAAGTGGGAGACCTTTGGTCTAGCTGAGAACCAGACTAGGAGTCTAATACAGGCCTATTTTCCCCACAACAGATCTCTGAAAGGTTCAGATTGGATGAGCGGCTCTGTGTCTTTTTACAAACTCAAACTGACCAACAATTGCAAACCTCAAGATAATCGTATACTCTTGAACACAATGCATCGGTACATTCCCATGCTGCATGTGATACCAGTCCTAGATGGAGATACAGGACAGCCAGAGATGCCCATTGTTTTGGGACCTGACAGCATGACGTTTATATTTCCACAAACAGAATTTATGGCTGTTACATGTTACCAGAACAGCAGGATCACCCAGCTTAAAATTCAATATAACCCATTTGCAAGAGGGTTTAAGAAGACTGAGGACAACCAGCTTCTCAACGGAGAGACTGACAATTTGACCGAGAAAGAAGAGTCTAAAGTCCTAGATCAAAGTAAAAGCAACGAAGAGACTGCTGACCTGAGGTCAGTTATTTCCACTTCTGCATCATTTATATATAACTTATGAACCAATTTAATAATGTGTTATCAGTTAATATTACATCATGCCTGCTATCAGGACATGGGCAAAAATGCATTGTCATTTTCTTATAACACATTTTTTAGCTTGTCAGACACCATTTTTCAGCCTGATATTATTCAATGCTCACTCCTCTGCCCTAATTTCCATAGAGAAAATCAGACCAAAATTATAATGTTTCTTTTTTCCATTTCTGCAGTGCAAAAACTAATTCCATCAGTAGTCCACCTGTCCAGCAGACCAGGCTGGTCCTGAAGCCCTTCATGTCCACAGCGTGTGGTAAAGATGAGCTGTTTGTCTCATGTATGAGAGGAAAGCATGCCCTTGGTGAACTCATACTCGTGGAAGACCAATCTGTGGATAAAACCTCAGATATGGCCCCGACATCGAAGTTGCACCCAGACTCGACATCTACAGCAACATCTGTCACTCCCAGCTCCTCAAAGTCAACAACAAGATCTTCACCTGGAAAAGACACAAAGAGGAAGTTAAATGTGCGCAAGCATTATTCTAGAGGAGCCTTAACCACTGGCTCTTCGACAGCGAACAACAACCCGACTGTTTCTTTGCAGCCAGAGTTGGATGACGTTGAAGGCCATGTCTTTGTGTCATTCAACTCAAAGGTAACAACTACAAATCCCTAATTTCACAGTTGTTTATTTAATCAGGTTTTTTTAGAGGTCTCTAAGAGGGTTAAGTTAAAATGTGTCACTTTTGGACTGACATATGTCTTAGAACCTCTTGACTGACCTTGTATTTATTATTATTATGAACTTTTTTTTTCTTCATAGAAAGCTCTAGAAGTTCATTTGAAGAGCAAACCAGCCCAATGTGCAGCACCTGTATCTCCACCTTCCCCAGTGTATCAGCAACAGAACATAAAAGGTAAATATATGTAAATTATTTTTACTCCACCAACCAAAAAACATATATCCTCTATGTTATATATACTGTATGTCTATGTCTATGATTTTCAGCGAAATTCGTACCAGAGTCAGATGAAGAGATCATTGCCAGCATGCAAGCAGCTCTGTTGCGGGATCTCAAAACTCTTAGACACAGACAGGTCATCCATCCTGTTCTTCAGAAAGGTCAGTTAAAAAAAAAAAAAACATGTTTCCTGATGTATGATGGATTGAAAGCAAGCTGACATGCACATGTTCTGGTGTTGACTCTCTTGTTTCAGTGGGCTTGAAGCTGAACTTCATCAACTCCAACGTATCCATTGACTTGCAGTATTTGGGAGTGGATCTACCTCTACCTCCAGCACCAACAACAGAACCAACTGAACATGTGGACTCCATGTCTCTTGGTAAAACAGAGTATAATTATCGTTATATATATAATATATATATTATAAAACAAAGGATACAAAAATATTTTGAGAGGTTTATATATTTTAAATAAAATCTGTATGTGTTGTTTCCCCACAGATAAAGAATTACCCTTCATCTCCAGGACAGGAAAGACAAGCGATGTGACAAAAATTAAAGGATGGAAACACAAATACATAAAGGGCAAGGAAACATCTGCTAACTGTGTCGGTGAGGCGTTTTTCTCCTGTTGCATCTCTATTATCCTGTAAATCAAGCGTAGCAGTTACAATTATTGATGGAATAATAAAACCAAAGCCACCAGAGTTTATTAGTTTCCCGTTGGTTTCGATCCATTGATGTTTCACACATTGATCTCCTTTTTTCCTCTTTCCAAAAGGGTTACCAAAGAACCTATCAGCCTTCTGCAGTGACATGTTGGATGAGTACTTGGAAAGTGAAGCTAAGAAAATCAGTGAGCGAGCCGAAGCCTTTTCCACAAACCCTGAGGCCTCAGTGGCTTACGAGTTGCCAGCCAAAAGCTCCAGCTATGTTAAAACACTGGACAGTGTCCTCAAGAATCACTGCAAGGCTTC